CGTGCACTTTTGAATCCGACTAAGTTCTTGCGTAAAGGCATTTCAACCTGTAGGTGAGACCTTTGCTTATTTAGATTCCCATGTATTCAAAGAAAGCACAACTTTGAGATTTTACTATTATCCTTTTAAGAAGTTTAAATACTTGCAATCTTTTCTAGGCCACTTGACAATAAAGTTCATTTAGCTGTGAATTTAGTAGGAAAAGCACCGAGCTGAGTGCAAGGGCACAAAGGGGCCCAAGGAACACGCTGCTCCCCCCGCAGCCCGCTCCCTACCCTGCCACCTCTCCCCAGAGCCGGTTTGGGTGACGAAGCGCCTGCTGACAAGCACTGCGGGGAGAGCCCCGCGGGGGGCTCGGGCGCTCTGTCAGTGCCACACCACCCGCAGCAGTCAGACAAGGGCATGCCTGCTTCTGGTTTGAACGTTTGCTCGTGCAGGGTGTCAGCGCAGATGTGCAACTCAAAAGGCAACTGAAACAAAGGAATAATTTACTAAACTGGGCGAAGAGCGCGTACCAAAGCTGCCTATGAAAATCACCGGGAATTCCGGCAGCTCAAAGCACGCACAGCAAACAGCCAGGGCAGCAAACCCGCTGGGAGCACCGCTCCTGTGTCCCAGTCCTGACACTGCCCCAGCCTGCAGAGAGCCGGAGCCCTCCCTGACAGAAGAGACCTAATAGTTCCAAGTCATCTTTTTGGATGGCAAAGGACTGAAGTCATTTGAAAGTCATCTTTCTGAGAAGCGAGATCTGGGGATCCTCCCTTCCCGCTGTTTTGCTTCGCATCCAGCTGATCTCTAAGGCGTGAAGGCGAGGTGCTGCCTGCTCGCTGGGTCACAGCGCCGGTTTTTGCAAAGCCCACAGCCATCCAGGTGCAGAGCTTGCACCTTCCATCTGGCCAAGCCGTGGCTGCCACATCTTTCTCAACGCTGGACATTTCGCCAGCTGACTCACTGACAGCCTGTGTGCAAGAACTACTGTCAGCGTGCGCTTTCCCAGTAGTAAAACATGTGGAAAACATTTGATTTTCAAAAATCAGATCAGTTCGCATCTCAAATTGTTTTGATTTCACGCTTTCTTCCCCAGTTTGTTTGTTTGTGTGTTGCCATTTCAACCTTTCACACAAGATTGCTCAGTTATAGTTTGCTGTTGAAACGATGTTGTCAGAGCATCACTTTCTGGAAAGGATCCTACTCTTCACAAGGGTTCCACCTCTCTAAATTACACCATAGCTGCAGAAACTAAGATGTTTCTTAGATTACAAGAAGATTACAAACTTTGTTTTGTATTTGGTTTGCTGTATTTTACAAGGCAAAGGTCTTTCCCTTAGTTACCCAGCTTTGCTCCACATTCCCAAGACGTACCAACTGCCATGTCCACATTTCCAGCGAGGGAGACCTTCCAACGGCTTATCCTCACAGGCCTTAAAAACGATACTTAGAGTAGCAGCAAGAGAACATCAAGATGGTTCAGAAAGCGCTGATTTCCAACAAACAGCATGCTTGCCTCAACTCTAAGCTTCTCTAAAGCTTGCTGAATTGGGAGAAAAACCTTACGAGAGTGTAGTTCATGAGATTTCCCAAAGTTAGGTTCTGAACCTTGACAAAGAGTAGAAATGAAATGAAGCTGCCAGTAGAACATAGGGGAGTCCTTTTTGCAAAGCATTTTACATTTGCAGAAAGAGTCCTCCCGAAAGTAATACCATTTTTGCAAATTTTTTTAAGAAAAAAAAATGCAACATTTTCCAAAAGCAGCCAGCACAACTTTGGAAAGCATTTCTGAAATACAGCATTGCAGTTTTTCACTTTGAAAAACATATGTAAGGATGCTCCTATTTTCAAGCAGAAAAAAGGCAAAGCAGTACTTTTTCAGTAGAAGACTTTGGTGTTTTTTTTTTTTTATACTTTTGCATCAAAAAAGGTTGAAAAAACATAGAACTTTCATTTCTGCACAGTTAAAAGCAAGCGCTAAAACTTTCAACTTCTTCCTCCTGTTGTCACAAGCTTAGGTGAATGTTTCAGCCTGCTTAATTTTATACCTGGGCAATATCGTGGGGCAATATCATGATTTCTTTCCAAACACACTCGGCAAATTCCATCTCAAATTTTGGAGAAAACCCCTTCCAAGCAGAAAGCTGGAATTAGTAATCACTGTCCTTCCAACAGGAGGATGAGGGAGGGATGGGGGAAGGAAAGGCAAGGCTGAGTGCAGTAGCTGCTGTGTTCAACTCCAAAAAATCCCCATAATAGGAGAATTTAAAGACTACTTTGAAAACTAATTACCAGTCTTTTGTTTAGAAAGGAAAGAGTACGTGTTCTCTTGCACAGCCGCTTTCGGTGATAGCAGGTTGCAAGACTGACGGCATCTATTTCTCTCTCCCTTAGGATGAAGGGATTCGTGACGGCGCTGTGGTAGCAAGGTGTCCAGCAACTTTCCTGGAATGTGTTTCTTCAGGAAAAAGAGCGATCACTGCCTTATTTTATGGATGCCACTGAAGTAGACTTTCAAGTTCTTCGGAAGCACATCACAAACTTGGCATGGGAAACCACAGCAACAATCATACCTGTTTGACAGATGATTCCTTTAAGTACAACTTGTATGGAGCCGTGTACAGCGTGGTCTTCATCCTCGGTTTGATTACTAACTGTGCCTCTCTCTTTGTTTTCTGCTTTCGGATGAAAATGCGAAGCGAAACAGCCATTTTCATGACAAACCTGGCTGTTTCAGATTTGCTTTTTGTGTTCACTTTGCCTTTTAAGATTTTTTATAACTTCAACCGGCACTGGCCTTTCGGAGACAGCCTGTGCAAGATTTCTGGTACAGCATTTCTCACGAACATCTACGGGAGCATGCTGTTCCTCACCTGCATTAGTGTTGACCGTTTCCTTGCTATCGTCTACCCATTCCGCTCTCGCACCATTAGGACCAGGAGAAATTCTGCCATAGTCTGTGCTGGTGTTTGGATACTGGTCCTCAGCGGTGGAATTTCAGCTTCATTGTTCTCCACAACCAACATTTCCAACACCAGCACAACCTGTTTTGAAGGTTTTTCCAAACGTATCTGGAAAACCTATCTGTCTAAGATCACCATATTTATTGAAGTGGTAGGATTTATAATACCTTTGCTACTCAACCTTACGTGCTCTTCTTTAGTTCTCAGGACTCTCCGGAAACCTGCCACCTTGTCCCAGATCGGGACCAACAAAGAGAAAGTGTTGAAAATGATCATTGTGCACGTGGCCATTTTTGTCGTGTGCTTTGTGCCTTACAACTCCATCCTCTTCTTGTATGCTCTTGTGAGGTCCCAAGCAATAGCAAATTGCTCCTTGGAGAGGTTTGCAAGGACAATGTACCCCATCACGTTGTGCATTGCAACAATGAACTGCTGCTTTGACCCATTCATCTATTACTTTACATCAGAATCCTTCCAGAAGTCTTTCAACATAAAAACCCAGATAAAAATGGATTCTCTTTTCAAGACAGAGACACCTCTAACAAAGACTGCCCTACCAGCACCACAGGATGAAATAAGTGACCAGGCGATTACAAATGGAGGAGACCCAACATCTGAATCGCATTTCTAGTGAGATGTGTACACATGGAGTTATCCCCCATCAACTTTTGATTAACACCATGGGTGAAAGAGTGGTTTCAGAATAGGTGGATTCGCACATGGTGTTAATGAAGAAAAGTTGCTGAGGGATAACTGCACAGGTAGACAAGTTTTACACTGGGATGGTCCCATCAGATGCAACAGGTAGAACACAAAATACAAAAATCCCAGTGGATCTCCCTTTGGAGATTAGGGATAGCTAACAACGTATGCGCCAACTAAGGAGGGAACAGCACAGCTTCTTTAATCAGAAGATGCCAACATTTGGCATGTGTTTTCCCCCAGCAGCTGACATGGGACCAGTTGGGAAATAGAAAAATTAATTTTCTTAGAGATATCTGCCAATATTTCATGTCTTCTGGAGATGCATCGTATGTTAACTCAATAACTTCACACAATATGTATGTTTGCTTAAAAAGGCATAATAAAAGCTTTTGGCTTTTCCTTATTTCACTGCAAGAGTATAGATCCTGGTTTTACTAGATATGGGCATGTTGAATTAATTGCATGGAGAGGTATGACGTATGAATAATTGTTTTGAAAGTAGGCAACACAGTTGCTTGGTGATAGAAGAGACAACAAGAATGATTAATAATGCAGTTTTGAAATAAGAAGTTTCATTTTTGCCTTTTAATTTATTTTAAAACGCCACCTCTAGGGAGAAGTAAAGAGCACACTACTGCTCTGTTGCACTGAGGCTTTTATGTCCCAGCAGATGATATGTGATTCTTTCTGGTAAGGGCTAGACTATGAAGTCAGCTGAAAGAAAGGGCCTGAAACCTCAGAGTTCTTGCAGGGGCAAACCTCTTCTGTGGAAATGGAGCACAGCTGAAGGACCACAGAATGCTCATCTTGTAACGAGCTTCTTTGGATACAGACAGTTGGTGTCACAGCATCCCATTATGAGAAGATCTTGTAAGTGATGGCTTGCTGGTTTTTGCTATACAGTCAACTAATTAAACTACAGGGTCACAAAGTAACTCCAAAAGAAGAGCAAACAAATCAAGTTAGCTGCACTCTTAGTTGATTACAGCAATGTTTTCTTGTCTTTCAATTAATTTATTACGCATCCTGCACTCCCTTTTATAGATTATATAAACACATGGAAAGTTAACTACCTGTATGTTGTTGCACTTTACTTGATGGTTCATTTCTCCAGCCCTTGCTTCATATTTAAGCTATACTGACCTTAACAGGCTGATTCATTCTTAAGTGTAAGACACACAAATGAGAAAAACCATTTAAGTTGAAAAAAGAATGAACTTACGACTTGTTAGATCAGTAATCTAAATTTTCCACAGCACTGCATAAAGCTACTTTTAGGACTAGGTTGCCAAAAAAAGACAGACAAAATATTAATTGAACAGATGTTTTCCACTCAACTATTTGTCTTCAGCCTCTCAGATACCGAGAGCTACACATCAAATGTGGTTAGTAAAAGCAATCATAGGTTTTTAAAGCGTGAAATGAATTCAGCTGCAAAAAATGTTAATGCTTTGAAAGGAATATTTATTTAGCACTATATTCACTTTGAATAAAAAAGTCAGCTGTTTACTAAGGCCAAGGCAGACCCCAGAGACCATTCTACTTCAGCCCCCAAACAGCTGTCGCTGATGTCTAGTGGCCCTGCTTTTGGCCATTACTGCAGACAAGGTGATCAACTGGTTATATCCAGGGAGCACGAGAGCAGCCAGACCATTAGATCTCAGCTCTAAGTTACAGCTGCATTTGCTAGAAACTTGCACACAAGACCGGCTCGGGAGACTTTTGCTGTAGATGAAACCCTCAGACAATGCCACTTGGAAGCAGAAACAAATTGTGAAGACAAGGACCGATCGTTCAGATGAGTTGGTGGGAAGAGACGGATGTGGCCGGACAGGGGCACAGTCAATCACAGGGAATTCGTCAGCAGCTGGGAAAAGTTTACCTCAAAGAGAAGCAATGAGCTGTGTTTTAAGAAGCACCAGTGTCTGCCATTTCACCATACACCAGTGAAAGCCAGCGCCATGCCCCTTCCCTTCCCACGCAAGCCTGAACCGAACTGTTTCGAGTGCTTTTTAAAATTCGTGTTTCCTTTGGCTGATGAGCCTGGTTCAACGCTTGCCATAAAACGTATGCATTTCAAAGAAGCTGTTTCCATAACTTCAGATCAAAATGCACAGCGAGGCAAGGGGGATTTCACAGGCTTCGATGCAGGCAGGGTTTGCCATATGCAGCCAGCCGTCCTTCACACTGCGGCGCTGCCAGGCGAAGAAGAGGGGGTTGTGAAACCAGCAGCAACTCTGCCACATTCTGAGCTGTGCAAAAGAGGCCAGGCAGCCCTGTTCCACTGCCCTACCATTCACTGGTGGTTAAAAGTTGTGCTTCATGAGAAAAGCCCTCTGTTTTTAGGGGTGGGAGACAGAAGGAAGGAGAGTGGGAAGGACCCACTAGGAAGCTGAGGGTGCATTTCAAACCCTCTTCCTATTTGCAAGAAAAACATAGGGCGCAGGAGTAAGTGCTCTTCTCAGAGGTAAACCCCCTTATTATTTCAGTTTTACAAAGAGAGACGAGAAACTTGGTTCTATGCCAGTTTGCTGTCAGTGGGCAAGCTTTTAACTGTCCGCTTGTAAATCTTATTTTAAAGCTGCTTCTTCCCGCTTGCCAGCAAGAAGCGGAAAGATGAGATTCCTGAGTTACGCCGGGTTTGGGAGCTTCGTGGGAGAGGGCTCTTCTCACGTGTGGTAGCTACTCGGTCACTCCAGCGTGAGCAAGAGCAGAATTTGGCCCAGCACCTGCAAGCATCCTGGAAGACCTTCTGCTCTGTGCCCTGCAGACCTTCCTCTAGTTGTATCCAAGGGGAGGAAAAAAAACCCCTAACCTAGAAACCACTGTCTAGCCTTCTTAAGGAAATGTTAAAAGAGAGGGGGGGGGGAAAGCACTGCGTGTGACTGGACAACCTCCAGGCCCTACACACATAGCTTAACTGTAATCCGAGCATAATGGGTGTCTTTTTCTAAGCGAAACTAGTGCCAATGCTTACAAATTTCTGTTTGCAGTTTTATGGGGCAAGAGCTGCGGTCGATATTCTCACATAAAATATAATACTATCATCATGTGCCAAAATGCTAACTGAAAAGATTCATTATTTTGTAATTTAATACCTTATAAATTATATGGAGATCATATGTTGACTGACACTCACATCTGGTAGGATAGTTCTTGACTAATCTTTTTTTCTAGGTCAGGTATACCAAGTCAATGCTGTACGGTTTGTGTATAAATAGCCAATTATGCATTCAGAGAGAGGAAAAGTAATTTTTCAGATGTTGGTAAAGCCAAGCTGGAAGGAGCAATGGTGGTAAAAGTGGATTCACAGTTTTTCTGGCTGAGGTGCAGCTGAGTGTTCCCTCTCCCTGCCTGACAAAGGGCTATTGCCAGCAAACGGCACGCACCAGAACTACGAATTTAAGAGCAAAAATCAAATTAATTACAAGTCAATGCCTTTACCTAGCTGAAGCTGAGAGACAGGGCCCAGCAATGCTCTCAGATGCTAAACATACAGCATTAACCAAGGATTTCACTGCCCCCAGCCCGCTCCCTTTCCCTGTTCCCCAGCTCCCTCCATAGGTGATCCGTTCCCTATAAGCTCACTACACGCTTTGCAGCTCATTGCCCAGCTGCAAAGCTGAAGCTCCAAAAAGCCATATGAAAACCTCTCTGCCCAAAGTCACCTTTATATACGCACTCCTACGCAAACCGCCCCGCCAGCCCGAGTTTTCATGGTGGACGTCACGGCAGGAGGAAGCAGGGCCCCGTGTCACATTCACCCTGAAAGCCCCTCTCCTCTTACAGCAGGCTTTTCTCCACAACACAACAGGCTCTATCTACACCAGCTGAAAGGTGCTGAGGGTTCGTGGGGCAGCATAAATCTTCACCGGCTTTGTAGAACCAGCGCAAACTACCCAGGCTCAAGTCTACGAAGCGCAAGAGCAAGGAGGTAGCACAAGGCACATATAAAAGTCATGTAAGAAAGAAGGATGAAAAGTTCCTGTGCTGCACACGCGGGCACATGGCTGCTCATCAGAGGGCTGGGTTTGGAGCCTGCTGCGTGGGGAAAGGGAGGGCAGAAAGCCGACAGTCTTCAGCTTGTCACTGAACGCAGCGATTTTAACCTCTAGAAAATGGGCACACTGCACAGCAAGGAAAAACACAGCGCTATTCCTGGTTTTTCTCCAGAGGCTGTCACTTCAAGATAATGTTTAACACCGCCGGCTGTTCTGGGGTTTAACTCTTAAATTTGACTTCCATGCGAAACCAACAGGACGCACACACCCCTAAAACACTGGGACAAGCGAGGAGTCGGGCGGCTTCTCTTTGGGACCACTGTGCTTATGTTTTCCGAGAATACTTCACTGCCCAGTACCTAAGAAAACTCTGTGCTGGCTTTCCTCTGCCTGGGGAATTTTGACCAATGTCAGTATTGTAGAGAACTTCACAACGTGCGTGTTTTGCGCTGTTTGCTCTTTTACGTATCTGTGTGCTTAATGAAAAAGAAAAGTTTTATCCGGAAAAACAGTACGTGTGAGTGTGCTCACTTACTCTGACTTCTATAAATATACATGTTCACTGGAATAATATTTATATTTAAGTCTTTCTGTAGACTTCTTAAGAAACTCTGAGTCCATTCAGCACACATGGAGAATTTCCTGGAAATCATCAACATGGGAAACTGGTCATTCCTTTTCACCTTGATACAAATCCCCCAGCTTCTTCTGCGGCAGTGCATCATCCACCTCGCTTGTCTCTGCAGTCACGGGATACTTTGCTGGAGCTCATTCACTCCATTGCTTCTGAAAGTCAGCATCCCAAGCCCACAGCTGACAAATAAGACTGAAGCTGTTGCTACCAAACCTATTTTAATAAATTTGTTTCCCTGAGTTGCCGTCTCTCCTGCACAGGATGACGAAGCCAGAGCCTGGGCTGCCGAAACACCTTCTGTCCCTGCCCGTGTCCCCAGCAGCTGCCCTCCCTTCAGCGTGCACGTCTGCAGCCCCTCTTTCATCCTTGCATTTGCTACTGCTGATGCCTTGCTGGAAGGAGTTTGTCTACTGTCACTCAGCCCAGAGAGACAGTGAAGGCAGATGTCTTCTCTAAGGGAAAAGGAAAATATCTTTCCAGACTTGGCGTTTTGACTGTTACACATTAATTTCAAACTCAACTGCAGCGTGAAGTTTGTCTCCTCACACTAACGGAATAAAATTAATCTTGAAATATCTTTTGACCACTGGAAGGACGGTGCTGGTTCCAAAGCTGGCATCAAGCTGTGTTATCTCTGGAAGTGAGGAGGCAGAAAAGCCATCTCGGCAAAACTGAGCCTTGAGATCTTACACAAGGAGTCCAAGAACCGCATGGCACACTTGACAGATGCTGATTTAGCAGCTGATACACAGCGGAGGTG